ATCCATCTAGGGCCACAAACTGGATACCTGGCAGCCATGCTAACACTCTTTACCCCCTCTGTCCTCAGAGCTAATTAATCAAAATTCTATTACTAGTACTTCCTAAATACAAGAGCTACATTTCTTCACCTCCACCACTACTGCCTGATTTCTAAACATTATCATCCTGTATCTGTAACGTTGCTAATCTGTTCTCCTCAAACCTGCCTAAGTAACTTTCCTAAATTATCCTTTCCATTATTCTTAGGACACAGTCCATATCTTTAATAGGGACAATTGTCTGGGAGCTAACTGCTTTACCCACTACATCTTGCACCATTTCCCAACTCCCTGTGTACATCAACGTGATCAACTGTTGGAATCAGTTCTCTCATCCTACAGTGATGTTGAGCAAACAAACAAGAACAGCAGCAAAACAAACTCACTTCCATTGAGTTTATTCCAACTCATAGCGACCCTGTGGGTTTCCAAGACCACAACTCTTACAGGAGTTGAAAAGCCTGTCTTTCCCACATAATTTGGGATCGCCAAATCACAGAGGCATACAACACCAAAGTGTTTAGTTCAGCTGGCTACTCACTTGCTGGGAATCAACTGGCTGTCAAGAAAACTAAGTTCTGCTCCACATATCTTTTATGCACCAGCAGGTTAGGCGAACAAGGTTAAGTACGTAATACTTTTTTTTTAATCTTAGACTTAAAATAGGCATATGTCACTTCTACTACATCTATTGGTCAACGCAAGCTTCTGGACCATCCGTATTAAAGGACTATGGATATAGATCTTGCCTTTTAATGAGAAAAACTTCAAAGGCACACAATAAAGAGTGAAAATAAAGGCTGTTGTGAAGAGTCAGAACCATCATTGTAATCTATCACCTTTCAATTAGCTGGCCGTGCCTTTTAATTTTTTCCCTCATGCAATGAACACATGCTCTCTTCCTTTCTGTAAAGTTTCCCTCATCACACCCTTACTACTCCATTTGACTGGCTAAATTCTGATAATTTTTGAACTTTTGCTAACAGAATTTCTTATGAGAAAACATCTAGAACTTAGCCTTTCAGGTGAGTACAGGCAGTCACATACCTACACCCTGGCCCATCTTTCTCTCCTTGAGAAACTAATTGCATAATTTTCTGTTTAATATCTGGTGGTCCTTTTAGAATGTAAGCTTCATAAGAGCAAGAGAGGACGTCCATGATGGTCAGCGTTACGTCCACAGCTCTAAACATAATGCCTTGTAAAGAAGAAAGGCTCGTAAATATCTGTTGACTATATGAATGAATGCTTGCATCTGAGCAAAGTGTCCATTACTTCCATTAGATTCTCAAAGCGTCTGTGATACTATGCAAATTTAAGAACCAAAGCTATAAGGTGAAATAATATAGACTACTGACAGGTATATTAAGGGAGAGAGATGTGCCAGGGTTAATTGAGCTCTCAACTAATAGTCTGGAAGCCCTACATAGCATAAGAATACATAGGGTAGGATAGATAACCCCCTCCGGGGCCACCAATGAGGATGTAGTTACTGGTAGGATAGGGGGAAAGTGGGGAATCAATCACTAAGATCAACATATAACTCCTCCCAGGGGGATGAACAACAGAAAAGTGGGGGAAGGGCAAAAGAGGACAATGTAAGATATGAAAATAATAATCTACAACTTGTCAGGGTTTCATGAGGGATGGAGGATAGGGGAGGGAGGGAAGAGGGAAATGAGGAGTTGATATCAATGGCTCAGATAGAAAGAAAAGGCAAAAAAAAAAAAAGAGAAAAAATGCTTTGGGGATGATGATGGCAACTATGTAGAGAAGTGCTTGACACAATGAATGAATGTACAGCTTGTGATAGGAGATGTAAGAGCCCCCAATAAAGATATTTAATGGAAAAGTTAAGGAAATGTTTGCACACATAAACATTGTTTAATGTTAACTGGAGGGGAGAAGAAAAACAAAGTACCAACTAGACAATCCAAAAAACTCAAAAGATCATTGCCTTCAAGTTGATTCTGACTCTTAGCAATCCTACATGACAGGGTGGAACTGCCCCAGTGGATTTCCATAAAAAAATGATCAGATCAAGGGTAATGTAATCAAGTGGAATTACTGAAACCCAAATGAAGACTGAGCATGATAGTGGGACAAGCGAGAAGTAAAAGGAAAGAGAGGAAAGAGCTAGGAGTCAAAGGGCATTTATAGAGGTCTAAATCAAGGCATGTACATATGTAAATATATTTATATATGAGGATGGGGAAATAGATCTATGTGCATATATTTATAGGTATAGTATTAAGGCAGCAGATGGACATTGGGTCTCCATTCAAGTACTCCCTCAATGTAAGAATACTTTGTTCTATTAAACTGGCATTCTATGATGCTCACCTTCCCGATACAATCACTGAAGACAAAGCAGGTGAATAAGCAAATGTGGCAAAGAAAGCTGATGGTGCCCAGCTATCAAAAGATAGAGCATCTGGGGTCTTAAAGGCTTGAAGGTAAACAAGCGACCATCTAGCTCAGAAGCAACAAAGCCCAACAAAGCACACCCAGCCTGTGTGATCACGAGGTGTGGAAGGGATCAGGTATCAGACATCAAAGAACAAAAAATCATATTGTGAATGGTGGTGGGGGGAGTGCATAGTGGAGACCCAAAGCCCATTTGTAGGCCACTGGACATCCCCTTACAGAAGGGTCTTGCGGAGGAGATGAGCCAGTCAGGGTGCAGTGTAGCAACGATGAAAAATACAACTTTCCTCTAGTTCCTAAATGCTTCCTTCCTATCCACTATCATGCTCCCAATTCTACTTTACAAATCTGGCTAGACCAGAGGATGCACACTGGTACAGATAGGAACTGGAAAAACAAGGAATCCAGAGCAGATGATCCCTTCAGGACCAGTGGTGTGAGTGGTGATACCGGGAGGGTGGAAGGAGGGTGGGTTGAAAAGGGGGCACCGATTACAAGGATCCACATATAACCTCCTCCCTGGGGGACGGACAACTGAAAAGTGGGTGAAGGGAGACGTCCGACAGTGCAAGATATGACAAAATAATAATTTGTAAATTATCAAGGGTTCAAGAGGGAGGGTGGAGCAGGGAGGGAGGGGACAAAAATGAGGAGTTGATGCCAGGGGCTTGGGTGGATAGCAGATATTTTGAGAATAATGAGGGCAATGAATGTACAAATGTGCTTTACACAATTGATGTATGGATGGATTGTGCTGAGTTGTATGAGCCCCTAATAAGATGATTTTTAAAATGATCCGATTTGCTGGTCTAGCAGACTGCTGGAAACCCTAAGACTGTGAATCTTAGACAGCCTTCAAGTCTGGAATGGAACCCACTCTTGGGGATCACTTTGCAGCCACACATCAGACTGACCTCTAACGTGGAGAGAAACATTCCTGAGAAATGTTCTTCTCCCAGTCATCAAACATATGAGACCAAGAGCAGTGTCTGCTCCAAAACTAGGCTCAGCAAACCGGAAGGGGTAAGAAAGAAGACTGGATGAAGGTGGAGCCCTCGGGAGAAAGCAGGAAGAATACTGTTCGATTAAGGTAATCGCAATGGATGCTGTGAAGCAAAATGTGTATAAATGATTGAGTTGAAAAGTAGTTTGCTCTGTAAACTCTCACCCAAACATCGATATAAATAAATAAATAAATAAATCTTGGAGAATGGATGAATAGATAAAAGGATGAGTAGTAGATAGAGAGATAGCTACAGATAGATAATAGATAAACAAATATCGAAAGGTTGTGCAGCATGTAGGTAGTAAGTAGACGATTGTTTACCACACAGTTATTTCAACTTGTCTGTTTATTTGAAAATGTTCATAATAAAATGGTAGCTAAGGAAAAAAATGAAGAAGAGGGAAATCCAGGGGCTTGCTGGGACCGTGAAACGGTCATCATAGCACGCACGGTTCCTCCACCTCCTTTGTTGTGCTCCATCTGGTTGGGTTGTCAGCCACTTTGGCAACACTCTTCTGCTCTCGGTTCCCTGTGAAGTTATTACTGTCTCGAAGGGATAATGGACACATATTTTAGAAGGTACGTGCAAAATATTAACTAGCAGCCATCGAGTCAATTCCAATTCATGTGACCCCTTGAATGTCAGAGCAGAGCTGGTCTCCACAGGCGCTTCGGTCCTCAGTGTTTCTCTGCCCATCAGGTCTTTCCTCTGAGGGACATTTGAGTGGCGAGAGCTTCAAATTTGTCGTTTCACAACCACACATGTTAATTCTTTGTGCCATTCAGTGTCTCCCTGCAAACTACAGAAGGCATGGTTGGGGGGTGGGGTTGGCATTGGGACATATTCGTTAGCTCCTATGAGCCAGATTCTGTGTCCCATTGTTTCTGTTAATGATTGATTAGCCTATTAGAGTTTATAATTATTCAGACTTTATAGATAAGGAAAAGAAGGTCAATAGGATAGACTAAAAAATAGAGTTATTGACTTCGATAATAGGTTGTTCGGTTTTAAACTTTTGTTGTGATTTGAATGAAAGTTGACAGAGCAATTAGTTTTCCATTTAATAAGTAATATACTTTTAATATACATATTGATTGATTGATTGCAATTCCCACAATGTAACATCACTCTTCTCACCAATTCTCTCTGCTCATGGTTTATACTTGTCCTTTTCTCTCTCCTCTTGTCTATATTCCTGGGAGATACTGCCTGGTTACTTGTGCTAAGGAGCACATGCATCCCTGGTGGGGGTCACTTTAAAGGCCTGGCAAAAAGTTAAGTCATGATGGTAAGTTCAGTTCCAAGCTTGAAAGATGTATAGGGGTCACAGTCTGGGGTAACCCATCAATCCCTACCAGAGCCAGCCTGATCCTTTTTATGATTTTGAATTTTGTTCCACATTTTTCCCCAGTCTATACGGGACCTCCCATTGTGATTGCTTTCAGATCTGAAAGTAGTGGGATTATTTGACTTTGACACAACTCTCTTTTCAGCTTCAGAGTTGTTCGTGCTTTGCAAAATGCAAACAATGGCAAATCAAGACAGAATCCAATGAGAAGTTCCTGATCTCCTCTCTAGGGTTTACGAACAGGTGCTTTATTGTTCTGTGTTAGCCTCCTGAAACACTGCAACAACCATAAGAGGGCAAAAGAAAGGACAATTCTTGTTAAAGACAGTTTAAACTATGGAGCACAAATGTTCAAATGTACAAGAACCTATGCTTGGTGTTCTAGGGATGAGCATCTTTGCTTGGGTCCCACTGAGGTCTAAGGCCAGTTTCCCAAATTACACTTTAATTTCTTTCAGATTCTTTCTAGGCCACACTCTCTTTTCCATGTTGTTTTTCTCTCCTTATTTACATCCAGACATGAACTACCTCCTACATTAGGCCTCTCAGACATTGCTCAAGTAGCCTTACTCTTTTAAATGTTAATGAGACTTGATTCGACTCTGACTCATGATGACTCCATGTGTGTCACAGTACAGCTGTCACATAGGGCTGTCAATGTCTGGTTTCGGGGAGCGTATCGCTAGGCCTGTCGTGTAGGCATCTCTGAGTGAGCTTCACCCTCAGAGCTTTTGGTTAGCAGCAGAGCACATTGACCATTTGCCTACCTTTCCTAGGTTTGACAGAATATTGAATTTTGGGATTTCATATTCACTAATTATTAGTTATATAACTATAACACCATTCACTTTTTTGGTCCTAAATTACTTACTTGGGAAGAGAGAGAGAGAGAAAATATACAATACCTTCTTGCTCCAGCTGTGTGCCTTCAAAGCAACTGTAATTCAATGAAGAGAGAGAGAGGGAAGCACAGACATGGAGACGTTAAGAAAATCCTTGAAAATCCTACCTCAGGAAGACTGGACACAGAACTGACTGTACGAAAATGCTATAGAAGTTTTGTAAGTTTCTTTATAAAGAAAATTGCTTTATAAAAGAAACCACAAACCAGAAGTGAAAGGTTATTGACCATTTGAAATGTTGAAGCAACAATGGGTCACCCTTGAAGAAGCAGGTGGTTGGTATAACTCCAACACCTACTTCAGTATCCAACCCTGTGCTTTACGTGGGCATTAAAGAGTATTTATTCCAAAAAGACCTAGCTTCCTGGTTGGAGAGACTGGTTGAACTCCCAATACGATGACTTAGTTACCTTCCAGGCCTGGAATTGAACTTGCCCCCACAGTTCAATTGTCGATCAAACAATAGAAGAACAGTAACACTAGACAGGAATATATTCCTTCGAACTATGAACCATTTGAAATCAATAGGGCAGCTTTTGCCCAAGGACAAAGTTCAGAAAGCAGGAAGTGTTAGGGAAGGACATGAAAAACACTGGGAAGAGATGTGATGAGCTATATGACATTGTGAAGATAACAATCAATATCACAAAACAAAATGTGTGTGAACGGTTGAATGGAAAATTGATTTGATCTTTAAACATTCAACCCAAAGGGGGAAAGAGTGTGTGTGTGTGTGTAAAAATGTGTATTTCCTCATATATATTCTCATTCTTAGCAATAAATCTATTTTTATAACTATTATTAAACTAATACCAATAACATTCATTATTTTTTCAAATTGTGCCAACATTTACTTTAATTGTGTTCTGGTTGCTTCATCTCCAGTCCTCTGATTTCCCTACCTTCCTATCTTTTCACCTTTGCTTTGGATTAAATATCAACTTTTTGCATTTCAGGTAGATTTTTTAGAAGTGGGCTGATCTAGCAGGCAATGATTTTTAGTTATGAAGGAAGCACCTGTTTTCTGGTTCTGAGTATGAGAATATTGATTCCGGGTTTTAAATTTACTCCTAGATTTAGAACTAAACTGCTGCTATCCACCCATGCTTAGGGACTCCATGCTGACAGCTGCTTCAGGAATCTGGCAGTTAGTGGTATATGGTGTGGTATTTGGAGAAGGGAATTCCCTAGACACTACGGCATAACCAGTCAGATTACTCATTTCCCTGGTAAGCCAACCTGCTAATCTCTTTCTTCTGGTTCTCCCAGAGGCAGAGGCTCAGTCTGGAAATGACAAGCATTTAATCATCTATTAGATATGAAATTTAAAAACCCAAATGCACGTAAACATGGCAATCTTCCAGGAGCAGTAGAACTGCTCTATGCAATTTCTGAGACTGAAAACCTTTGCAAAAGTAGACAGCCTCATCTTTATCTCTTAGAGTTGCTCCTGGGTTTGAACCGGTGACATTTCAATTAGCAGTCTAACACATAACCCACTAAATTACCAGGTCTCCTACTGGGTCACCAGTGCTCCTTATTCACTCGTTTGTATAAAACCATTCGAATGCTCATCATTTCCCCAGGAGGACTCTTCAGGTCTCTGATTACAAGTAAAGCTCAGAATATATGTTGTGACAATAATATTGAAGGGAGATATGAAAATAATATTTTGAAGGTTGGGCTGCAATCTCCAAGGTCTGCACTTTAAAACCACCAGCAGCGCCAAGGGAGAAAGATAAGGCTTTCTACTCCCATAAAGTTACAGTCTAGGAAACTTGCAGGGGAGGTTCCACCCTGTCCTATAGAGTCACTATGAATTGATATTGGCTCGACAGCCCTAAACTGAGATTTTTTTTCCTTGGCATTCATTGGATTATCATTCTCGGGATTAGTGGTCCAAACACATTAACCACTCCGCAGGAGAAAGATGAGGCCAGCTGCTCCCATGAAAATGTACCTCCTCCTGGGGGATGGACAACAGAGAAGTGGGTGAAGGGAGATGTCGGACAGTGTTAGATATGACAAAATAATAATAATTTATAAATTATCAAGGGTTCATGAGGGAGGAGGGAGGTAGGAGGGTGGTGGAAAAATGAGGAGCTGATATTAAGGGCTCAAGCAGAAAGCAAATGTTTTGGGAATGATGAGGGCAACAAATGTACTAATGTGCTTGATACAATGGATGGATTGTGATAAGAATTGTAGGAGCCCAGAATAAAAGGATTTAAAAAAATTTACCTCCTCAAAAACCCTATGTAGGGTCCTTATGAGTCAGAATCAGTTTGATGCCCATAGGTTTGGGATTTTAATTGATTTTTGTCAGCAGATAGGAAGCACATATGAACATAGCATGCTCTTTAGCACTGTCTGTGTATGTTAAGTGAAATCGTGCTTGATACCACTCAGAACATTGCACAGTGGCTCTAACTTTGTGTTGCCTCCAATGCTTTGAAATCTGAGGACTTCTGGTATCATGAAAATATAGAATGGGGGAGGAGAGAAAGAGAGAAGGGTGGTGTAATCTAGATTCCCTGGGATCTGTCTGTAGTAGGGATAGGATCCTTCCATGTAGGGCAACACCTGGTCAGGCACCCCCGTTCCCTTTCCTTCTAACTTTTCCTTCTCATCATCCATTCATCGAACCACCTTTCCTCATTGCATCCCCATTTCTCTATAATCTACCAAACAGAAGTGAGTCCGGTAAGGAGAGGCAGAAATCCATAAGACACATAACCATGATCTCCGTTAGGGAGATAGCCCAAACTATTGTCATCAAGTCAACCCCAGCTCATCACAACCTCTGGGTTACAGGGTAGGGTTGCCCCAAAGAGTTTTAGTGGATTTTCTTTTGAAGTGTCAGTAGCTGTGTTCCAAGTGCCAACCTTTTGGTGGGAGCCAAGAGCAAGGTATTCGCACAGTCCAATAAGAGAGCAATACTTTCTGTCGGGGGTTTAAGTGGAGAGAAATGTTTTGAGAATGATGCACAAATGCGCTTTACACAATTGATGTGTGTATGGATTGCGCTAACAGTTGTATGAGCCCCTAACAAACTGTTTTTGAAAAGAAGAGAGAACAATACTTTCAAAATTTACAGAGGGGAAACATATACATATTACAGATCCAGAAAAACAGCCCAGATTGACTAAATCTGAATCAACTCAAGGAAGTTGGGCTGGGTGGAGTTGGGGGACCCTTGCTGAAGAAATTCCCCTTTCTTGCAAAGAAGGTGAACACATTGCAATGCGGTGAATTATTTAATAGGACCCTTATGGCGACAGCCTTTTTTACTCCCACCAAATCACCTTCATTTTCCTGATGGGACAGGTAAGAATATGGAGGAAAGCTACTGACTGGATTCTAGAATCCAGCTGTGAGTTATTTTCCAGCAGGGCTAATTGTAGGTGTCATCCTGCTAGGGATAAAATCAACCATCTCAGAAGCAGGAAGGGTGATGGATTTAATGGCCAGCAAGAGAACCAGGAGCGGAGCACATTATTTAGATCCTGAGGACCCCGCACATGGTACCTTCTTAATCTAGGAAACAGCTTGGCGTCAAAGGAGCAGCAGAATTAACAGCTAAAGTGGTGGACTTCCCAGCACAAAGAGCAAGCAAACGTGGAGTGCTTTTGTCCAGAGGCAGGCTTGTGAAGTGGGGTGCCTCTAGGTACTTAGTTAGAGAAACTGGGTTTGCTGACCCTCAGTGCTGAAGCTGATTGGCTCCAGGCATAAGCTTGTCTTGAGGTGGCATGTCCTTTAGGGATTTATTTGTAGCTCTTTTTTAAAAAAAAATTTTATTGGGGACTCACAGCTCTTATCATAATCCATCCATCCATTGTATCAAGCACTTTTGTATATATGTTGCCATTATCATTTTCAAAACATTTTCTTCCTACTTGAGCCCTTGGTATCAACTCATTTCCCCCATCCTCCACCCTCCCTCCCTCATGAGCCCTTGATAATTTATAATTTTTTTTTTCATGTCTTACGATGACCACTGTCTCCCTTCATCCACTTTTCTGTTGTTCATCCCCCTGGGAGGGGGTTATATGTTGATCATTGTGATCAGTTCTCCTTTTCTCCCCCCACCTTCCCTTTACTCTCCTTTATCGCTACTCTCATTATTGGTCCTGAGGGGTTTATCTGTCCTGGATTGCCTATGTATCCAGCTCTGATCTGTACCAGTGTACCCACTCTGGTTTAGCTGGAGTTGTAAGGTAGAATTGGGGTCATGATAGTTGATGGGGAGGAAACATTAAAGAACTAGAGGAAAGTTGTATGTTTCGGTACATTTGATCAAGCCCCACCAGGCATCCCTTGTTGCTTCCTAGTCACTGTGTTTGTTGGCACCCCCCTTCTTTTCCCCTTCCTCCCCATCTACCTCCCCACCAACCCCCC